AGGACATTATTTCTATTCTATAGATAATCTGATATAGAATAATTCAAATAAAAATGTACAAATATGAGTCATTTAAAACTATAAAAATATACTTAAGAAAAAAATACAAAAATAAAATTTTGATTACTATATTTTTCCACTTGTTCTAATTGAAAAAATAAATTCAATAATTCATTTGTTTGCAAAATAAGTCCTATGGTGATCATAATGATGTGCAAGATAAATCACTTTTTGTAAAGTTACAAACATGCCTATAATTTTTAAAAATGTATATTAATAAAAAAAATACATATAAATTGTATTATATAAATTATAAAAAGAGTAAAATTTATTTTGATAAAACGAATATTTATTATATAAGATAAGAAAAGAGTAGCCGATGCATTAAATTTTTTTATTGCAACAACTTAGTACGTAGCAGTAATATATTCTTGTCATTCTCTTAAGAAAAAGAAACATGTGTTATAATAACAAAAAATTAACAATAATTAACAAAATATGTTATTTATATTCATAAAAAAATATAGTTTTATTTGTGGATCAATAAAAAAATAAAAATGTGTGCAGTCACTTCAGTCACAAACTTTTAGATGATGACCTTTAGGCCTATATGAAACAAATGATATCAACTAAAAATAAAATAAATTAAACAAACTATGTATTTTGGGCTCAAACTATTCAATCAATTAGGACAAAAACCAATATAAAAGACCTCATATATAACAAAAATTCAATTAAATAATTGGATGATAAATATGTATTGTCTTATTCAGTCTTCATGGTCAAAATCATAGTGTCACTCTTTCTCTCTCTTATGGTTGAAACTTTCTCACTCTTTTTGTTATCATTTCTTAATTTTTTATCTTTCACAATATTATTCTGCAATATTAGTCATTTTTTAATCCGTAAATGCAACTAAATTTCGATCCATGTTCAATCACTAAATCATCTAATTTTTATTTTATATATAAACTGTGAAAGTAAATGTACATCTAAATGTAATAATATATAAATATAACGTGTATATTAATCAAGTTATTATTTTATTATATACTTTCAAGATTTTTGTTTCTTTATAATCTTAGCTTATATTAAGGTAACAATCAATATTATCACCGTCAATGCTTATATCAATAGCCACCGTTTATTTTGCATTACATTTATGAGAATTATGATTTAACTTATTAAATACATGTTGATAGAATTCTTGTAAAATAATAAGAATAAAATATTTAAATTGTAGTATATAACTCTAAAACAATAAAAACTAAAACTAAAACTTGTGATATACGATTAAAAAGAAAATAGTTGTTGCGTTTGTAGTATATTGTGCGAAACTTTACTTGTCGCAATATTTTGATAAAAGACGATATATTCTCATCACTCTTATGAAAACAATATATATATATATATATATATATACGAATATAAAATTTAACAATAAATTAATATATTAATTATACTTTTATTTTCAGGAATTATAGTTACATAATTGAAGATTACTAAATAAACTAAAAGGATGGCAAAATTTATGTACATATGTTTAGATAGCCAACTCTTTAAGATTTTGACAAAATAAAATAAATTATACTAACTAAAAATAAACAAAATAAAACAAACTTTGTATATTTGAATCACCTCCAATCACACAAAAACCAATACACATTTTATCTTCAGTCTTCACAATTAAAAACATGAGTTGTACCTCTTTGAAATCATGTAACTCTCTCTTTTGTACGTTAATATTTCTAATTTTTTTTTTTCAATTTTTCAGAATATCATATGTTAAATATCTATGTATTTTTCACCCATAAATACAATCAAATTTTAACGTCATGTTCGAATTCTATGTTGTCTTTTTTTTTTCTTTACTTTTATTTTATTTTTCATATTCTTGGTTGATATTGGTAAAATGAACCTAAATTCAGATAATTCTTTTTGTCCAAGTAAAGGTTATTCACTATTTTCGAGATATATTTCATATTCATATGCAAGTTAATCCCCAGTACCCGTAGATGATACTATTTTATTAATAAAAAAATTATCCTTTTTAGTTAAATAAATTATATTATTATGACAAATATAATTTTATTTTCTCTCTCTCTCTCTCTCTCTCTATATATATATATATATATATATATATATTTGTATTTTTTTTATTATTCAAAGAAATTTAGTAGAAAATAAAATAACAATATATAATATATTATTTTGTAAGTTTTCAATTTGTCATTAACCAGATTAATGAACTCTTGTATCGAAATTTATATATTTGAGAAATATCATCAATAATGAACATAGTTATTTTTATTATGTGGTAAACCATTGATATTTTTTATTATTAAAGTATATTATTTGTAATCCATATTAGATTATAATAGTATCATAATATATTTATACATAAATTAATTTATACTGATAACTGTATTATTTTTTAATTAAGCATTTGTACAACTATTTATTTTTATTGTTTGAGTTATTCACATAGGATTTAACAAAATTATTTCAAAGCTATGAATATGTGCAAGTCCCAATGCATAATTATGTATGAATTTAATTATTTACTTAAACAAATGATTATACTCATTGTTTTAATGATATATCATAGTTTGAAATTGATAAAATTTATTTGTAGATAATATATATAGTTTTGGAAGTTTTTTTCCTACATGTTACTTAACTTATATATATATATATATATATATAT